AGTTTGCAATTTCAGTGAAACACCATTTGCAACAAGTGAAAATGATTCACCACAAAAAATTTTGAAACGTGTTGGTGAGGGGAAATATTCATTGAATGGTGAAACTTGGATAAATATTTCGGATCAAGCAAAAGATCTTGTTCAACATTTGCTACATGTTGATCCATCCAAACGTATCTCAGTCAAGCAAATTCTTACTCATCCATGGATTGTCCATCTTAATTCACTTCCAACAATACGTTTAAATTTCTTCAATGATCCATCTAAAGTAATGGTCAGTCATTAGCCTCTTTTTTTTCATTTATTTTTATTAGAATATAGATTTGGAATAGATTTAGCTTAATTAAAATTTTGCTAAAAATCTAGACCAATTTTTTTTATCGGTATTTTTTTTGCTAAAATTTTATCGTTTTTTTTTTTCAAGATAAGTTTTTTTTGCTAAAATAATTCATTACGATTGGATGATTTTTTTTATCAACGATTATAAATTTTTTTTGTTATAATTTAGCAATTATAATTGTTTTTAGGATGCATTAGATGAAACATATCATGCGTTAACAAACGCTACAGTTACGTCAGTTCCGTTACGACCTGTTACCGAATCCGCGTTAGCACGTCGTCGACGTTTAAATCGAATGAAAAGTGTTACAATTGATGATGATATTATTGAAGTATCTAATTCTGTGTTACCTAATGGATGTAATATTGCAGCCGTTTAATTCATTCTTTTCAATTTAATAAAAATTTCAGCAAAAAAAAAAACGAAAAATGTTGAACATATCACATCAATTTTGTTTATTCTTTGAAATGTTTTATGCTTTTTGAGTAGAATTCAAGAAATTCAACTAAATTTTACAAATTCTTTACCTGTCGATAATTTTGGTAATATATTCGGCACACTTCTTTCACATTTTTTTTAAAAAGTATCATGTAATAGTATGTAGCACATAATATATAAGCATAGAATTGATGTAAATTATTCAATTTCCATTTCATTAATTTTACCCTTCTCATATTGAAATGTAAATTTTTGTGCGATATTTATTTATCTTTCTTATTTTAACGACAATTCCGCAACTGATTTTGTGAATTTATCATAATAATGCATGTATGTTAAATGTGCAATATTTCACTCTCAAGTTCCGTTTCTTTTTTTTCTTCTTTTTTTGAGAGAAATCAAATTCGTAATTTGCATATCATTTAATAATGCAAATGTATAATCAATCTCATTGTGATAGCAATATTAATATCAATACTACTAATAATTAATTGCTCATATATAATGTTCTCAGTTTAATATTTCTTCCACAATTTTTCTGATCTTAAATTAAATGTAAAAATAAAATATGGCATTCTTGAAAATAAATATTTGATGATGAAATTGCTTAATGTAAAAGTGAATTAAAATTCCATGATTTTGTTATTCTAAATTTGTATTTAAAATGGAATGATTGGAGTAGTCATATAGTTGTAGTAGTATGGTAGTAGTAGTAGTAGCAGCAGCATAAACATAAAGATAGAAAATGAATTCATAATAGGAAATGAAAACTATCGATTGTTACCTATTGAAATCAATGAATTTTATGATAATTTCTTATTTTTATTCAATAATCTGTGTCATATCGTTTGGTCAATTATTTACATTATAATAATTATGAGGTTTAATAAGGAAATTAATTGAATATCATCTATATGCTCATTTAATAATCGATACCCATTTAATAATCAATACCATATATAAACATATCTTTTTTATTATTAATTACAGAAGTACTATTGAATGATTGCTAGCATGGATCTTAATTTTAATTCATTTCTAGAAAATTTCTCATACCATATTCAACTTATTGTTTCAAAACGAACTTACTGATTTACATTATAAAGCTCGGAGTTCACGTTCTTTTTTGTGTGTTATACTTTTAACTATGAAAGGAATTAGGATGCTAATTTTATTAGAGTTGAAAATCCAATTCAATTCATTCATTCATTTAGTATTTTTCATTTAATATTATTTCAGTAATGATACGAGACGATATTTACAGGAAAAAAAATGTTTTCATTTGAGGATATTTACGCTGCTTCAAATCGCATTAATAGCATCATTCATAAGACACCGGTGATGACATCATGCTATATTGACAGCTTATGCGATATGAAAGTTTATTTCAAATGTGAACATCTTCAAAAAACTGGTTCATTCAAAGCACGTGGAGCATTGAATGCTGTATTTACACTTTTATCATACATAACTAATCAGCTAATTATACTTTTTGTTTAAATTCAATTAATAAACTCTTACAAAAGTAATATTTACGGGTAAAATTAAACTTTAATAGTTAGTGTGTGATTAATATCAAAGTATGATGAGATAGATTGAAGACATGGTGGCAAGTTGAATTATAATAATCTAACTGATGGATGAATTAAAATATCTTAACCATTTGCTATCACCGCTTATCAGCTATCGATAAATTATTCAAATAATTAGAAATAACCCTCTCTTCTATCAAAATTTGCTTATTTCATTTTGTAACATTCCTTGCAAATAAGTGATAAGTGATATTGCAATTTTTTTTGAATTATTTTAATCTTATATTTTGTGGAATGATTTTATTTGGTAATATTTGTATCCAAATGAATTATAAGCCACAAACTAAGTTGCATATTTTTTTTTTAAAT